TGAATATTTAAAAAGGCTTATCTTCACCTAAAAGACAGATATTATTACTGTGTAAAAGACCAGCCTTGGCCAATGGACTACTGTAGGTTGTGAGGTGGGTGAAGGCGAGTTGTTTGACACACCAGTCGGGATCTCTTTTTGGGTGGAAATACTGTATTTTCCTCAGTGGTAATGAGGCTGTAAGTGTTTTTGGCTTAATGAATGTAAGTGGGTTAGTCGTCTGGTGATGTAAAGAAGACCAGGAATGTGAAAGACGCTGTATGCTGAGGAGGCGAAAAATAAATATTGCCTTGCCTATCTTTTGAATGCGCTGGAAAACGGCAGCACGTCCAATTTTAATTTTTTCTTGCTATTTTCTGAGATGTTACTGCAGTAAAGTTTTCATGGTTTTACACTGGTCCAGACCAGAGCAGAGAGGATTCATGGTTTTACACTGGTCCAGACCAGAGCAGAGAGGATTCATGGTTTTACACTGGTCCAGACCAGAGCAGAGAGGATTCATGGTTTGAACCAAGTGGATCAGGTGAAAATCCACAGGAGGAATGATGACTTTTTGAAATATGCTAATGAGGCATTTCGCATTTTACTTTGGACCAGAGCAGAGAAAATGGTCCGAACCAAGCGGCTACTCCACCTCTGCTGCGTGACCTGAGGCTTTTGCTGATTATTTCTATTGTTAGCTTTTTAGAATGATACATTTTCTGTTTTATTTTCGCTGCTACTGGACACCTGAATATCTATCTATCTATACCAATAAATCTGCCTTGCCTTTATTCAATTCTTGTAAAGTCGTAAATCACAACAGTAGTGATCTCAGAGGACTTTACTAAACCGTTGAAATCGCCAACACAGATCAGAGAATCAAACAGTTCAAAGAAATAACATAAAAACCCATAGAGCCATTGGTCCAAAAGGGGCGGAGACCAAAGTCCCATAAGTGTTGGTACAGGCGGCTGAGTGGATAGCACACTCGCCTCTCAGCAAGAAGGTCCTGGGTTCAAATCCCGGTCGGAGCAGGGTCTTTATGAGAGTAGTTTGCACGTTGTCTCCGTGCCCGCGTAGGTTTCCTCTGGGTACTCCGGTTTCCATTACCATTAAAAACATGCACACTAGGTTAAATCCTCCAGCTCTGGTCCTGACCAAGCCGAGCATCAACATCTGGAGATGGGTTCCCGGGCGCTGTTACTACGGCGACCACAGCTCCTGACGTAAGCCTTAGCGGCATCAGGATGGGTCAAATGCAGAAGATGAATTGCCCTACGGGGATTAATAAAGTGCACCTCTACCTTAAATGTTATTGAATTCATTTTTGCTTGACTTTCCTGATGCCTGGATGGCTCAAAACAGCTGATCGCTATTTCGATGAGGATAATTTAACAGCCAGTAAAAAACTAAAGGTCACCCACTGCTCCCCGACATGCCTCATCTGCATACATCTCATTACCAACACCAAAAGCAGGCGATTGTGTCCGCCTTGAAACCCACCACTCTCGCCCTTCTACGTCTAAATCTGAGCGCCCGTTGACTTTTATACGCGTTGGCTTGCGTCCCATCCTCTTAGTCAGAGCCAGCGATGCTCCAGTCGACCCCTAGGCTCCTGAATCACCGCACTCTGAGCCCGGATTCAGGACTAAGGGAGACAGGACCACGCCATAAGCCAACATGAAATGAAACGATTACATATAAGCAAGCTTCTCAAGTGCATGTTAGAGCGAAGGGGAGATGATGGGGGGGGGGGGGGGGGATCAAAGGATGACTGGTGTAAGAGCCTTAAGGTAGTATTGGGAGTTATTTGAAGTGCAGAGATATTTGTGGTGCTGGTAAATAGAGCATTAGCGCAGACAGAGGTGGGCTGACACTGCGGGTTTGAAGCAGAGGAAAGAGCCTGTGTTTATTCAGACTAATTGGTTTTGTGGTTTTTCGAAGCAAAAAAGGAAAAAATAATAATTACAAAGTGCAAATCAGATTATTTATGCTGTGCTTGATCATTTTTTCCCAATTTACTAACTAACCCCTGTTTTGGTGTGTGGTATGTTCTCAATGGAAGCATCCGGAGCTTCCAAACCTTTGGGCCATGTGGAAATGGAAGTATGATTGGCTGATGGAGGAGGAATGTATGCGGCTGTGTGTGTGTGTTTGTCGTCTGTGTGTGTGTTTTTGGCGCATGTGTGTGTGTTTTTCTGTGTGTGTGTTTTTGGCGTATGTGTGTGTGTTTGCCTGTGTGTGTGTGTTTAGCGCCTGTGTGTGTGTGTTTGTCGTCTGTGTGTGTTTTTAGCACCCGTGTGTGTGTTTTTGGCCCCTGTGTGTATGTTTAGAGCTGCTGTGTGTGGGTATTTGGCGTGTGTGTGGGTGTGTTTTTCGTGCCTATGGGTGTATTTTTGGCGCCTGTGTGTGGGTTTTTGGCGCCTGTGTGTGTTTTTTGCGCCTGTGTGTGTGTGTTTATTGCGCCTGTGTTTGTGTGTTTTTAGTGCCTGTGTGTGTGTTTATTGCGCCTATGTGTGTGTGTGTTTTTAGTGCCCGTGTGTGTGTGTTTATTGCGCCTGTGTTTGTGTGTTTTTAGTGCCTGTGTGTGTGTGTGTTTATTGCGCCTGTGTGTTTTTTTGGCGCCTGTGTGTGTGTGTGTTTTTAGTGCCTGCGTGTGTATTTTTGGCGCCTGTGTGTGTGTGTTTAGAGCTGCTGTGTGTGGGTTTTTGGCGTGTGTGTGTGTGTTTTTAGTGCCTGCGTGTGTATTTTTGGCGCCTGTGTGTGGGTTTTTGGCGCCTGTGTGTGTTTTTTGTGCCTGTGTTTGTGTGTTTTTAGTGCCTGTGTGTGTTTTTGGCGCCTGTGTGTGTGTGTGTTTTTAGTGCCTGCGTGTGTGTTTTTGGCGCCTGTGTGTGTGTTATTTGCGCCTGTGTCTGCGGGTTTTTTAGCACCCGTTTGTGTGTTTTTGGCGCTTGTGTGTGTGTTTTTTGGTGCCTGTGTGTGTGTTTTTGCCGCCTGTGTGTGGGTGTATTTCAGCGTCTGTGTGTGTGTTTTTGGCGCCTGTGTGTGTATTTTTGGCACCTGTGTGTGTGTTTTTGGCACCTGTGTGTTTATTTTTTGCACCTGTGTGTGTGTTTTTGGCGCCTGTGTGTGTATTTTTGGCGCCTGTGTGTGTGTGTTTTTAACGCTTGTGCGTGTGTTCTTGGCGCCTGTGTGTTTTTGGGCGCGGTACACGAGATTTTAAAAGGCTGTACACCTCCCGGGGCACAAGACATTTCTTGAATCTTTTTAAAATAATATACTTCTGCTCCTCCCATTTGTTTTTACATATTTTGTATCACTTTTTTACAGTCTGTGTTTTTGGCCTCAGCCACGTCTTGAGATCAGACTTTTCAGACAGAAAAGTGATAAAAGAGAGGACCATCAGCTCTCAGCCAATCAGCATTAAGGACTCACAGGGCTCTTTCTTCAAGTTCTTCAAGTATATAAAAATTAATTAGGCAGCATAGGTCTTTCTTTCCTCACATGTTTTGGCGGAAAACTTCCACTTTTCCTCTAAATTCTTTAGATCCGAGCAACAGGAAGTCACAAACTAGGAAATAGCTTTGGCTCTCGGTGCAAACAAGTCCGCACACACAAACAGAAGACATAATACACTTAGTGAATATAACACAGACAGCATGTTGTGATGAGGTATCCCAGCTTTATCACTGCTTGTGATCAGTTTTATTATGGGCTGTGCTAACGCCAGCTCCTTGGCCCAAAGATTTTTTATGCATCAAAAGCTAAAACAGAAGGAACTGCATAAAAGGAGACACTAAAATCAGGTCCAGAGTTTTGCCAAGGTGAGAAAAACGCTACAGCACAATTTGTCAGATTCTCACCCAAGGGCGTTTTGAGGCAATTATAAAAGGACAAATTAGTGTTTTTTACAATATTTAACATCCTGAAAAGCTCAGACTTAATGTTGTATCACGACAGATAATGTGATGATGTTGTACTGTGAGATTTAGCAAACATTAATCGGGTCGTACTGTACTGCAGAGCGAATTTATGATCACGGGGGAAGTGTCGGTGTTAGTTGGGGCTCGTCATCAAGTAATCAGCAGTCCAGGGCTAAGGTTAGTAGGTAAGTAAGGAATGTTTATTTATATAGCACATTTTACAGACCAAGCTCACACAAAACGCTCTACAATGTTCAGATGTTTTTCCATTTTCTCCAAACACACTGGCACATCAACACCCTCCATTCACCAACTCATTACTTTTAGATCTATTGCACATGTCTATAGTGGTAGGGAAAAAAAGGAGCACCTGGTGGAAACCTACTCAGACACAAGGACAACATCCACTCTCCACACAGAAAGGTCTAGAGGTGGAATTAAACCCAGGCCCTTCTTGCTGTGAAACACGAGCTCTAACACTGTGCCAGGGTTGGTGGGCAGCTGTGGCGGGCAGCTGTGGCTACAGTAGCAGTTTATCATAACCGTGAGTAGAGTGACAGAATAATGACATGTGAAGAATCTTTCAGCGTCCAAAAAAAGTACTATATATATAAAACTGATCAAAAAAACATTCAACACTTTGGTTCTGGGTTGTCTTGTCAAAAAACACAGATCTACATCATGAATACACCTCGTCTTTCTCTTTGAAAAGGTCACAAGGCTGAAGTGTCTGCAATGTTTTAAAGAAGATATTATGAATCATTGGCCATTCAAAAGTTATACAATGGTTTCTGTCTGAAAATTTGCTCCCACCAGAGGAAAGATCTGAATTTGTTTGTTTTCAAATCGGAAAATCACCAGCAGCAAACACATTCATATGATTGCAAACACAAACTGACAAAGGCAGTGCTACAATGACATCATACTATCACAGGACTGAGACAAAAGCTTTGGAACAGAAGGGGCGGAGCTACATGTTTGAGCCATAAGTGCAGGATCTAAAACATACCAATATACTGCATTCAAAGATCCAAAACATCTTAAAGTAGGTTTGTAAGTAATCTTCATGAATATATCGCATTCCTCACTCCAAGATCATACAAATCGCTGTAGTCCGAGTACACAGAAGCCGCCACAGAAGCAGACAAAGAAGCCGCCACAGAAACCATCATAGAAACCACCACAGAAACCACCACAGAAGCAGCCACAGAAGCAGTCAAAGAAAGCAGCCACAGAAGCAGCCACAGAAGTCGCCACAGAAGTCGCCACAGAAGCAGCCACAGAAACCACCACAGAAGCCGCCACAGAGGCAGACACAGAAGCCGCCACAGAAGCCGCCACAGAAACCACCACAGAAACCACCACAGAAGCAGCCACAGAAGCCGCCACAAAAACCACCACAGAAGCAGCCACAGAAGCCGCCACAGAAGCAGCCACAGAGAGTCCCGTGTGTCCTAAGTCAGACCTGGCTGGTCCCGTGTCAGACCTGGCTGGTCCCGTGTCAGACCTGGCTGGTCCCGTGTCAGACCTGGCTGGTCCCGGGTCTTACCTGTGGTGCACTATGTAGGTAATGATGGAGGCGAAGAGGCAGAGCAGCATGACCGCAGTGCAGGCATAGACGACCGGGTGAAGGAACTCCCCGGGGAACTGCGGGAACGACAGCCCCTTCTTCAGATCCTGCACACACACACATACACACACACACACACACACACACACACACACACACACACACACACAGGAAGAAAAATGCATCAGAGAAATGTCACCTGGACACGACTTTAACCTGCGGCTGGACATAAAGACAGGACTAAATGGAGTGAGAGTTCGCTTCGCTTTAGGTTGCACTTCATGACTGAGGGTTCAGAGTGCAGCAGATTAAGACAGATCCTTCACTTGTCCCACAGTGGGTAAATTTCAGTGTTGCATCACCAGTTACAGATAAGTAGCACTGAGAAGCACACAGCATAAGAAGCATGAAAACAGCTCTATACTCTATGTCCGTGTTTTTCAACCAGTGTGCCGTGGTACGTTGGTGTGCCTACGGTCTTTCTCAAAATAATGTGAACAGAAAACAATGCAGAAGATCAGAGAGAAGTTTGTGTGTATGTTTTATTTCCTGCTCAAGACACTTTGATATTATTGACTTTGTGACTTTCAGTTTCAGCTGGTGGTGTGCCGTGTAAACGTTTACAATGAGAAAGGTGTGCCACGGCTCAAAAATGTTGGGGAACACTTCTCTATATTAAGCTCTATACTACATAACTATATCCTAAACTCTCTACTGATTAATAACGTAAAGCTTTAGCATAATAAGGATGGAAGAGAGGGCCCAGTGTTGAGGAGAGGGCGAGAATGACGTCAGGGCGGCAGCGACGGAACAATAACGGAGTGGTTTATTAAGTCAATGGGTGCTCGTCGAGTCAAATCACCAATATTTATGATCAGTGATGATCCAGGACACACAACACTCGACAACATTCATGGACATTTTTCTCTGTCCTCGATGGATCAATGACTCGTATGTTTTTTGTCGTTGCATTTCTTGTGGTTAAACGGTTTGATTTGTTGGTAAATGCAACCGTTTTTGCAATGTTTCTCTGAGAAAACTACGTATACACACAATACACAATGCAGCAGTGATTTGTTAAGCTTGTGTTAAAGTCCAATGGAAAGAAATGTGTTTTCAGCAAAGATTTATAATTCTTAGTTGTGCTCATGCAGGGCCTACATCCCAGCAATATTGACCCGTGAATATATTAACACTATTTTGTTCCTGGGGCAGGTAACTGAATTTTAATGCCTGCTTTTTTAAACTCTAAAACACTGAATTATGATTAAAGTTGGTGTGCATTAAGCTGGAAAGAACTAGCAACTAGCATACATTTTTCAAGCTAAACTCAGAAAACTGCCTCATCTTGAAGAGTTGAAGTTTATATATTGAATTTTGCTGTATTTATACATTTCAATTTGTATTTTACTTTTTAGACTTGGACCTTTATGTGTGTGTGTGTGTGTGTGTGTATATTCTATAATCAAAATGGATGAATAATGGATAACCAAAAAAGCCACTATTTTCATAAAGTAGTAATAGGAATTGAATGAAATATAGAAAGTGGAAACAGGCCCTAGGGTGAGTCGGTAAAACTGTAGGCTCCGGTCTCTCCGGTCTCTCCGGTCTCTCCGGTGTAAAGGGCTTAACAGAAGCGCACTCATTTGTATGTGATGCACAGAGCGCTCCTACTGTACATCAACCCAGGACATACGTGAACAAACCTCCAGTCCGAACCAATACGACAAAGTATCCCTTCTCCACCTGCACCAGTGCAAGTCACCAGGAGGACAAGGAGGAGGAGGTCTCTCTCTCTCTCTGGACTCTCTCTGGTATCTCTCTGGCCCTTCTCTGGTCTCTCTCTGTTCTCTTTCTAGTCTCTCTCTGGCCCCTATCTGGTCTCTCTCTGGTGTCTCTCTGGTCTCTCTCTGGTGTCTCTCTGGTGTCTCTCTGGTGTCTCTCTGGCCCTTCTCTGGTCTCTCTCTGTTCTCTTGAAAATGCATCGTAAATGCATCGTATTCTACTGTAGATGAACTGTTTAACTCTGTCACTTCTAGTCTTTTGAATGTTCTGGATACCGTTGCCCCTGTGAAGGTTAAAATAGTGAAAAATAAGCAGAAGGTGCCATGGGCTAAAGCAGACTCGGTCAGAGCACTGAAGAGAGAGTGCCGGAGGGCCGAGCTGAAGTGGCGCAAGTCCAACCTCCAGGTTGATTAAAAGATATTCAAGGATAAGTTGTGCGAGTTTAACCGGGTGCTACGTAGTACGAGAGAAAGGTATTTTTCTGAAATGATTGAAGGCTGCAGCAACAATCTGCGTGTTCTGTTCTCAACAGTTAATAGATTAACAAACCCCCCTGTTCAGATGCCATTAGAGCTAACTTCCAAACGTAAATGCAATGATTTTTCACACTTTTTCAATGACAAGGTTCAAGGCATCAAAAACGCCATTGTGTCCAATCCACAGATAACCATCCAACAGCCAAAAAGGCTCTTTGAGCTAACTCACTTTGCACCTGTAAATGATCAAACTGTCCAAGAGATAATCTCCAGTTTAAGCTCCTCCACATGCAGCCTGGATGTACTACCCACTAGATTTCTGAAGTCTGTTCTGAGCAGTCTGTTACCTTCACTCACACAGATAGTAAACATGTCCCTTCATTCTGGTATTTTCCCAAAGGCCCTGAAAACTGCAGTCATCAGGCCCCTGCTAAAAAAGAGCAGTCTGGATGCCACTGTACTTAACAACTATCGTCCCATCTCAAATCTGCCATTTATGGAGAAAGTCCTTGAAAAAGTTGTCTACCTACAGCTTACTAGATTTCTTATCATCAACAACTCATTTGATATGTTTCAGTCCGGCTTTAGACCCCACCACAGCACTGAGACTGCTCTCGTCAAGGTTACAAACGATATCCGGCTGAACACTGACGCAGGCAAAGTCTCAATCTTAATCTTGTTAGATCTGAGTGCTGCCTTTGACACTGTCGACCATGAGATCCTCTTACAGAGACTAGAGGACTGGGTTGGAGTTGCTGGCACCGCCCTAAGTTTGTTTAGGTCTTACCTTGAACACAGGAAGTACTTTGTGGAGATTGGAAACTGTGTCTCAGACCATATGGCCCTGACCTGTGGAGTCCCACAGGGGTCAATCCTGGGACCTCTTCTGTTCAATCTCTACATGCTGCCGTTAGGTCAGTTAATACGCAGAAACGAAGTTTCCTATCATAACTATGCAGTCGACACTCAGATCTATGTCTCACTGACTGCAGGAGAACATGGACCAGTGGACTCACTCCTTCACTGTATCCAACAGATCAGTGAGTGGATGCAAAACAACTTCCTTCAGCTAAACGCAGACAAAACTGAAATGATTGTCTTTGGTCCCCAGAAACAAAGAGAGAGTGTCATCTGTCACCTACAGTCTCTCTCCCTAAAACCTTCAAACAAGGTCAGAAATCTAGGGGTAATACTGGACTCAGACTTAAATTTTAATAGCCACATCAAATCAGTAACATCAGCAGCTTTTTACCATCTAAAAAACATTTCCAGGATCAAAAACATAGTGTCTAAAGCAGACTTGGAGATTCTTATCCATGCATTTGTCTCCAGTAGGTTAGACTACTGCAATGGACTGCTCACAGGTCTGTCCAAACAGGCTGTAAAACAGCTGCAGTACATTCAAAATGCAGCAGCTCGAGTCCTGACTAGAACCAGGAAGTATGACCATATTTGTCCTGACTAGAACCAGGAAGTACGCCCACATTAGTCCGGTCCTCAGGTCTCTGCACTGGCTTCCTGTGGCTCAGAGAATAGACTTTAAAACAGCTCTGCTTGTTACAAGTCTCTCCATGGCCTCGCACCAAAATATATTAGTGACATGTTAGTCCCATATGAACCAGCCTGGACTCTGAGGAGCACAGGGACTGGACTCCTGCTGGGACTCTGAGGAGCACAGGGACTGGACTCCTGCTGGGACTCTGAGGAGCACAGGGACTGGACTCCTGTTAGTGCCCGGAGTAAGAACTAAACATGGGGAGGGTGCTTTTCAGATTCATGCTGCTAAAATCTGGAACAGTCTTCCTGAAGATGTGAGACAGGCCTCCTCTCTGACAATGTTTAAAACCAGTTCTGTTTAGCCGTGCATACAACTGAGGGATTTTATATTTGTATCTTTCTTTTTAATGTTCTGTGATTATTTATGATTTTAATGCTTTCTTGTTCAGCACTTTGAGTTGCCTTGTGTATGAATTGTGCTATACAAATAAACTTGCCTTGCCTTTCTAGTCTATCTTTGATCTCTCAGTCTGGTCTCTCTCTGGTCTCTCTCTGGTCCATCTCTGGTTTCTCTCTGCTCTGATAATGACATAGTCCTCCAAGTGCAAATTACCAACAAACCACATCCAATAATCTCTTCTCAACCCTTCAGTAATTGAGAGCTGGTTTAACTGTAACTCACTCAGATCTTTATTTGGCCCTAAAACATTAGTCTTATTATGAGTCCTCATGGCACTGTTCAGCTGTGTTTGTTTGTAGAGTTTTGGCAATTGTGACAATAATTTATTTAACCCTTCAAATAAGTAGTGAACACAGCCAAAAAAATATTGTATTAATAAACACAAAATGTAACAGCAGCTTATGATTTGTTCACACACACACACACACAAACACACACACACACACACTCAGACAAGACACAGGCCCAGACTCTCTCTGACCCAAGACCGAAGACCCAGGACTCACAGAGACACAGTCAGGGATCGCCTCAGGGTTCCCCCAGATGAGCTGGAGACAGTGAGTGTGGAGAGAGAAGTCTGGGCGTCTCTGCTTAGACTGCTGGCCCCGCAACCCGGCAACGGATAAAGCGGAAGAAATTGAACAGTTGTTGAATATTCCATAAGTCCGCAGTTATTGTCAATGCAAAAAAGCTGTATAGCACGATTAAGGTTTTCTGGTTAAGACTGGACTCAATAGTGACAATTTCTGGAATCTGGTGGGCTCCTGCTTGGTTGGAATGAAAACCCGCAGCCACGCCGGCCCTTTGAGGACCGGTTTGACACCCCTGCTTTAGAGTAATAGTACCTCCTTGACGGCTATAGCACTAACTATAGCCTCAGGAGAACCACATTCGGACAGTCGGTCTTCTCGGTCCAGGGGGCAAAGCTCTGGAACTCTTTAAGCCCTCAGCTAAAACTGAACTCTGACTGGGCTGGTTTTAAACATGAACTAAAGCGATTTCTTAAAACAAACCAGGTGTGTGAGCATCAAAGAGTTGGAGAACATCTGCTTTTGTATAATGTGAATTTTATAATGTATAATGTGTTTTAATTGTGTTAAAAGCCCTCCTAGGGACGGACATTGCAAACTAGCCTTGGCTATAAATGTTGTAGTGTTTCACATGTTGATTGTGTTCACTTGTCCCTATCAAATAAATCAATCAATAAATAAATAACTATGACCAGATTTCCACCCAGACACTAAATACTTGTGCGACAAAAAATGGTTGCGAAATTGGCAGAAAATGTTTATGTCCAACTTCACTGTAAAAAAGACCAAAAAAAAGTCAAAAATTGCTAACAAATTGGAAAAATATATTTGAGCACATTATGACTGAGCCTTACAAGATTTAATTTCTTTAAAAAAAGATCTCCCTTGAAATAATAGAAAAATGCAATAATTCTTGAAATATTGGAGAATCTTTGTGTTTTATAATAATCTTTATTTGTATTGCATTTTTCAAAAACAATATTTACAAAGCGCCGCACAGTCAGTATAATAAACAGATTATACAAAGTCAAAATAATGAGGTAGAAAAGAAGAAACAGGAAGACAAAGCAGACAGAGTGGGCAGTGAAAAACAAAATGGGAACAGTTTAAAACAGTTAAAATCTGTTTGATAAAAGTGGGTTTTAAGAACGGATTTAACAGAAGATACTGACATATTCTGACTCGTTTCAACACAGTCAGAATTAAGATTAAAAACACAAATTTAAAGCAATTATTACCTCAAATTTTTATCATTTCTTGCTGTGTTTAAAGGAGTCATTTCAGCAGCTCTCTGGGTGAAAACAGATTGGAGGCCACTTGCCAACAAAAAATAAAAATTGTAAACTGCTTTGCGACTGGTCTGTGAAAGGCGGTATATAAATAAACATTACTTACTTACTTGTGTAAACACACTCATTTTTTCCCATTTTCCCAGAGATGTTTTGGATAATCTCCAATATACAGTAATTATAAAACGTGACAGCCAACAATAGCGCTCTATAGGAGACTTCTAAACAGCGCTGTATGGAATCATTACGATCTCATTGGGGGCACAGCATGAGGCGCACATACAAACTGTCACTGGGAAAGTCTGGGTGAGAATCTGCAGAATAAGTCCCCAGTCCTGACGCATTCGCACATTAACATTTGAGGCGTTTAGCTGACACGCCGAGCCGAGAGGATGAGCACAACAATAGCTTAAGCCTCCTCGTCGGCAGAGAAAAGGCCGGAATCAAAACAAAAATGGATCGACTCCAAGTGAAACGGAGGAATGAAAGCAAAGTTAAGTCGCTTTCTCCGGCTTAAAAGACACATTGTTCAGTTAGGCTCATTAAGCTCCCGTCAAAGTCTCACTGAGACGCTGAGTTTGTGACACGTTTGGGTTCAAAATGCCACGTTTAACTTCCTACTTTGGTAATTTTAATATTAGGTGAGAATAAAAAGCTGTCAAATAACTGCAGCTCAGGATGGAAGAAAGCTGACAGAAGAAAAAATAAAGTTTGAATTGGATTTTACAAGTTATGTTTCTCATTATCACAGGATTCATGATTCATTTCTAAAACATTGAATCAGGTGTAAATCATAGACTGTATATATTAACTGACAGAGTCACGTCTATCTCCGCCGTTCTAACTAATTGGCCAAAAAATAGGCTCTACTGGAGCAATCCAAAATGGCCGCGAGTGGTCCCGCCCACAAGAAAATTGTGAAAAAACGCATCTGTGCATGCGTCAGCCGGAGCAGCTCCATTAATTTGAACAAGAGACTTCAAAAATTCACAGCGACTAAACTAGACTGGACCAGAACACCCCCCTCAGCATTGACACACATGTGGAACGGAGCTTTGGGCCAAGAGACAACTTTTGGACCATCCTGTAAAGACGTTTTCCAGAGGTCTGCTAACGCTATATGTTAGCATTGGCTAATTCTACTTCTGGGTCCACCCCCACAGGCCCGGGGTATTGCAGCATGTCAGCGCACGTCATTTTGGCCACTTTTGAGCTGGGACCCGCCCACACTGGTGCAAACAGAAAAAATGGAGGTCAAGAGATCCTTTATTTGTCCCAAAGTGGGGAATATTCAGTGTTCTAAAGAACAGCAGGAATGAGTTGTTAGTGTCATGTAAACCAACTCGAACTCTGAGGAGCACAGGGACTGGCCTCCTGCTGGGACTCTGAGGAGCACAGGGACTGGCCTCCTGCTGGGACTCTGCGGAGCACAGGGACTGGCCTCCTGCTGGGACTCTGAGGAGCACAGGGACTGGCCTCCTGCTGGGACTCTGAGGAGCACAGGGACTGGCCTCCTGCTGGGACTCTGCGGAGCACAGGGACTGGCCTCCTGCTGGGACTCTGAGGAGCACAGGGACTGGCCTCCTGCTGGGACTCAGAGACAGGACTAAACAAGTGGAGGCAGCGTTTCAGATTGAAGCAGCTAAAATCTTCCTAAAAATGCGAGACTGGCTTTTACTCCGACAATATCCAAATCCAGGTTGAGATGTACAGTGCTCATTTACGACTATTCAATGCCAAAGTATTGTTTTGTTGAGCACTTTGAATTGCCAATGACCTGTGCCATACAAAAACACCTGCCTTGGTACCATTAGACGCAGGCACCGACAGTTTGATGGTGTTGAAGCCGTTTCCATCTCTCTGTGGCCTGGCAGCTGTGGCCTGTCAGCTGTGGCCTGGCAGCTGTGGCCTGGCAGCTGTGGTCTGGCAGCTGTGGCCTGGCAGCTGTGGTCTGGCAGCTGTGGCCTGGCAGCTGTGGTCTGGCAGCTGTGGCCTGGCAGCTGTGGCCTGGCAGCTGTGGCCTGTCAGCTGTGGCCTGGCAGCTGTGGTCTGGCAGCTGTGGTCTGGCAGCTGTGGCCTGGCAGCTGTGGCCTGGCAGCTGTGGCCTGGCAGCTGTGGCCTGGCAGCTGTGGCCTGGCAGCTGTGGCCTGTCAGCTGTGGTCTGGCAGCTGTGGCCTGGCAGCTGTGGCCTGGCAGCTGTGGCCTGGCAGCTGTGGCCTGTCAGCTGTGGTCTGGCAGCTGTGGCCTGTCAGCTGTGGCCTGGCAGCTGTGGCCTGGCAGCTGTGGCCTGGCAGCTGTGGCCTGTCAGCCTGTGGCCTGGCAGCTGTGGCCTGTCAGCTGTGGTCTGGCAGCTGTGGCCTGGCAGCTGTGGCCTGGCAGCTGTGGCCTGGCAGCTGTGGCCTGGCAGCTGTGGTCTGGCAGCTGTGGCCTGGCAGCTGTGGCCTGGCAGCTGTGGCCTGTCAGCTGTGGTCTGGCAGCTGTGGCCTGGCAGCTGTGGCCTGGCAGCTGTGGCCTGGCAGCTGTGGCCTGTCAGCTGTGGTCTGGCAGCTGTGGCCTGTCAGCTGTGGCCTGGCAGCTGTGGCCTGGCAGCTGTGGCCTGGCAGCTGTGGCCTGTCAGCTGTGGCCTGGCAGCTGTGGCCTGGCAGCTGTGGCCTGGCAGCTGTGGCCTGGCAGCTGTGGCCTGGCAGCTGTGGCCTGTCAGCTGTGGCCTGGCAGCTGTGGTCTGGCAGCTGTGGCCTGGCAGCTGTGGTCTGGCAGCTGTGGCCTGGCAGCTGTGGCCTGGCAGCTGTGGCCTGGCAGCTGTGGCCTGGCAGCTGTGGCCTGTCAGCTGTGGTCTGGCAGCTGTGGCCTGGCAGCTGTGGCCTGGCAGCTGTGGCCTGGCAGCTGTGGTCTGGCAGCTGTGGCCTGTCAGCTGTGGTCTGGCAGCTGTGGCCTGTCAGCTGTGGCCTGGCAGCTGTGGCCTGGCAGCTGTGGCCTGGCAGCTGTGGCCTGTCAGCTGTGGCCTGGCAGCTGTGGCCTGTCAGCTGTGGTCTGGCAGCTGTGGCCTGGCAGCTGTGGCCTGGCAGCTGTGGCCTGGCAGCTGTGGCCTGGCAGCTGTGGCCTGGCAGCTGTGGCCTGGCAGCTGTGGCCTGTCAGCTGTGGCCTGGCAGCTGTGGCCTGGCAGCTGTGGCCTGTCAGCTGTGGCCTGGCAGCTGTGGTCTGGCAGCTGTGGCCTGGCAGCTGTGGCCTGTCAGCTGTGGCCTGGCAGCTGTGGTCTGGCAGCTGTGGCCTGGCAGCTGTGGCCTGGCAGCTGTGGCCTGGCAGCTGTGGCCTGGCAGCTGTGGCCTGGCAGCTGTGGCCTGTCAGCTGTGGTCTGGCAGCTGTGGCCTGGCAGCTGTGGCCTGGCAGCTGTGGCCTGTCAGCTGTGGTCTGGCAGCTGTGGCCTGTCAGCTGTGGCCTGGCAGCTGTGGCCTGGCAGCTGTGGCCTGGCAGCTGTGGCCTGTCAGCTGTGGCCTGGCAGCTGTGGCCTGTCAGCTGTGGTCTGGCAGCTGTGGCCTGGCAGCTGTGGCCTGGCAGCTGTGGCCTGGCAGCTGTGGCTGGCAGCTGTGGCTGGCAGCTGTGGCCTGGCAGCTGTGGCCTGGCAGCTGTGGCCTGGCAGCTGTGGTCGCAGCTGTGGCCTGGCAGCTGTGGCCTGGCAGCTGTGGCCTGGCAGCTGTGGCCTGTCAGCTGTGGTCTGGCAGCTGTGGCCTGTCAGCTGTGGCCTGGCAGCTGTGGCCTGGCAGCTGTGGCCTGGCAGCTGTGGCCTGTCAGCTGTGGCCTGGCAGCTGTGGCCTGGCAGCTGTGGCCTGGCAGCTGTGGCCTGGCAGCTGTGGCCTGCAGCTGTGGCCTGGCAGCTGTGGTCTGGCAGCTGTGGCCTGGCAGCTGTGGCTGGCAGCTGTGGCCTGGCAGCTGTGGCCTGGCAGCTGTGGCCTGGCAGCTGTGGCCTGGCAGCTGTGGCCTGGCAGCTGTGGCCTGTCAGCTGTGGTCTGGCAGCTGTGGCCTGGCAGCTGTGGCCTGGCAGCTGTGGTCTGGCAGCTGTGGCCTGTCAGCTGTGGTCTGGCAGCTGTGGCCTGTCAGCTGTGGCCTGGCAGCTGTGGCCTGGCAGCTGTGGCCTGGCAGCTGTGGCCTGTCAGCTGTGGCCTTGCAGCTGTGGCCTGTCAGCTGTGGTCTGGCAGCTGTGGCCTGGCAGCTGTGGCCTGGCAGCTGTGGCCTGGCAGCTGTGGCCTGGCAGCTGTGGCCTGGCAGCTGTGGCCTGTCAGCTGTGGCCTGGCAGCTGTGGCCTGGCAGCTGTGGCCTGGCAGCTGTGGCCTGGCAGCTGTGGTCTGGCAGCTGTGGCCTGGCAGCTGTGGCCTGTCAGCTGTGGCCTGGCAGCTGTGGTCTGGCAGCTGTGGCCTGGCAGCTGTGGCCTGTCAGCTGTGGCCTGGCAGCTGTGGCCTGGCAGCTGTGGCCTGTCAGCTGTGGCCTGGCAGCTGTGGCCTGGCAGCTGTGGCCTGGCAGCTGTGGCCTGGCAGCTGTGGTCTGGCAGCTGTGGCCTGGCAGCTGTGGCCTGGCAGCTGTGGTCCGAGGTGGAGTCATAAGATCATCATGTGTGTGTTTCTGAATATACTGTAGCTGCACCTTATCTCCATAACCGTGTCAGACTGCATCACCGTCTGACACGCTATGGCCACGGATCCCCCCAGCAGAGGGGCAGTGGAGCCTGTCTGCCACCGAGGGCGCTCCACTCAACACTCACACACACACACACATACACTCACACACACACACACACACACACACACTCACACACACACACTCACACACTGACAAATGAAAACACAGCAATGGAAACAAAGCGGGAGCAGAAGTGACGATAAGACGAAGCGACAAAGAGGATTACTGTGGACGACTGTTGTCAAATAAACGGGACACAGAGGTGGAAAAGGTGTCACTCCATTTTCTTCTGTGTGTGCTTTATATTCTTCATGTGTTTTAACTGTTGATTCTCTGACCTGTGTTGGTGATTTCAATGGTTTTGTTAAGTCCTCTGAGATGACTTCTGTTGTGACCTAGGGCTATACAAGAATACATTGTATTGTATTGTATTGTACTCCAGATAAATATCAAATGGCAAGAGTTATTTGTTAAGTTTAATGTGTACAGTTTATCAGTTGTCTCAAGGTGACGATGCACTAGAAGAGCCTTTCTGATGTATGATAAATGTAGAAATGATGGCAATGGTCAAATAGAAAACAATAAAAAGTTTAAAATCTAATCGAGCAAGAGTTTTGTCGCAAAGCTGTGATGTGTTAGTGCCATATGAACCAACTGGGACTCTGAGGAGCACAGGGACTGGCCTCCTGCTGGGACTCTGAGGAGCACAGGGACTGGGACTCTGAGGAGCACAGGGACTGGCCTCCTGCTTGGACTCTGAGGAGCACAGGGACTGGCCGCCTGCTGAGACTTTGACAGCACAGGGAGCCAGCTACAGCAGGAGGCCAGTCCCTGTGCTCCTCAATGTCCCAGCAGGAGACCAGTCCCTGTGCTCCTCAGAGTCCCAGCAGGAGACCAGTCCCTGTGCTCCTCAGAGTCCCAGCAGGAGACCAGTCCCTGTGCTCCTCAGAGTCCCAGCAGGAGACCAGTCCCTGTGCTCCTCAGAGTCCCAGCAGGAGACCAGTCCCTGTGCTCCTCAGAGTCCCAGCAGGAGGCCAGTCCCTGTGCTCCTCAATGTCCCAGCAGGAGACCAGTCCCTGTGCTCCTCAGAGTCCCAGCAGGAGGCCAGTTCTTCCAGCACTAACATGTCGCAGATGGAAGAGCAGAGAATGGACCTTGAAGCCGGAGACGAACACGACGCTTAAATGTAAAAACAGCCATTTCAGTCGTCGGTTTCAGTTTTACAGCAAACGATGGAGTTTGTTTGTGAGCCCGGAGCGACGTCACGGAATGACAGTGTAAACCGAAGCTAATTACAGGAAAATGAATCAATGTGGCCGAGAGTGAGGAAAGTACACGTCCCCGAGCCTCGTGCGGCAAATCCTGCTGAAGAAGAGACGCTTTTAAGTCACTAAGCTGCTCCACACACACACACATGACTTCACAGAGAGTCAGATCCAGAGGAAAAACCCCAATAAACACAACACAAACAAGGTCAGGAAGAGCGGGCGACAAGCACTACACAACAGCAACAGTTCTGAGTGTGACAATGACAGGACATGGGTACAAACTGTGAAAAATGAAACGTCCAGACACACCGCTTTTTATGGTTTGTCAATGTCAATGTCAATGTCAGTTTTGTTTGTAAGTAGTGGTTCACAGGCACGAAAGAGAAAAGAAAAGAAAACAGCGAAATACGCACACATACATGTAAAAAGTAAAATGGTAAAACTCACTTGGTGCTAAAAGCCAAGGCGTAAAAAGGCTCGGTCTGGTCTGGTCTGGTCTGGTCTGTTACGTACTGTAGTTATAATGATTTACCCATGAATCATTGTACCTTTTGTTACTTGAAACAATTATCTAAAATCTAATGTAATGATAATAATAATAATAATGCATTGGTTTAATATACCGCTTTTCAGGACACATGTCATTATTCTTTCACTCCAAACACGGTGGTGATTAACTACTACTATAGCCACAGCTGCCCTGGGACACACTGTCAGAAGCGAGGCAACCAGTCTGTGCCATCGGCCCCACCAGGTGTGAATTCTCTGATGACCTCTGCACTTCCCCCGTGGACATTTGGACGCGGTAGAACGTAAACAACAATGGCGGCGGGTTGGCTAATGCTACGTGTGCTTCGCTAACGGAGGAGGGTTCTACTCCTTCGTCCAAACCAAACCACAGCTGTAGGGTCTCTCTGTTCTCTCTCTAGTCTCTCTTTGATCTCTCTCTCTCTCTCTGGTCCCTCTCTACTCTCTCCCTGGTCTCTCCCTGGTCTCTCTCTGGTCTCTCTCTGGTCTCTCCCTGGTCCCTCTCTGGTCCCTCTCTGGTCTCTCTCTGGTCTCTCTGGTCTCTCTCTCTGGTCTCTCTCTAATCTCTCTGGTCTCTCCCTGGTCTTTCTCTGGTCTCTCTCTGGTCTCTCTGGTCTCTCTCTCTGGTCTCTCTCTAATCTCTCTGGTCTCTCTCTGGTCTCTCTCTGGTCTCTCTCTGGTCTCTCTCTGATCTCTCCCTGGTCTCTCTCTGGTCTCTCTCTGGTCTCTCTGGTCTCTCTCTGGTCTCTGTAGTTTCACTTCCCATTTCCACTGCTGCTGTTAAAGAACGACGTTGGTTCTTTCCCGTCTTTGACCTGAGGACGATGCTGTTGAGGAAGTGCTTCTACCGCCTGGGGTCGCGTGTGTTATATGGTAACGTCCCACTGCCCCCTACTGGCTGCAAGCTACAACTACATTGTTTTCAGGCAGAGTCTAAACGCTGTGCAGGAGCCTGGTTGTTTTTGCTAATTCCTTTGCAGCGTCTCCATCTAAAAAACGGAGACTGTAGAGTTAAGAATTACAGCGTGAGAGCATGTTGTAAACTGTATTGGAAAATGTGAGGTTATTACAGAGAAATAATTGGAATCGCACAACAACATTATTACTACAATTCATGTTGAGATTAGTGCTGCTATGTACACACAGTCAATCCCCGTTTTAATTGCGGGCGTTGGCAAATGTAATACAGCAGGGTTTTTATAGTCTACCATTACGCCAATGTATCCCAGTCTGTAAATATCCCAACACCACACACTCTTTGAATGTGCTCGCGATACCGTGGGCGATAAGTCACACTCGCCATAATCCACCATTTTAATAGCAATCCAATACAAATTTGATGCGGTGGTGATATTGTTAACAGCCGGAGTTCGTTTCTATTTTCCCGTAAATGTGTTTGAATGATTGTCTCGGGAATGCTCAGCCGCAGAGTGACAAGTAAAGGTGACAGGAATACAGAGGATAAAGTGTATTATCAAAGAGTGGTTCAGTTGGTACAGGACACACAGAGAGACATGGAGCTCCTAACTTTATATACGGAATAATACAGGTTTGTCTCCTCAGAAACAGTTCTGTAAAAGTCAGGACCACAACATGCTTTCTTCATCTTATTAAAAACCTTTTGCACACTTTGTACTTCATACTCTGTTCACCAAAATGTGTTTCATATTTCATTGATTCTGAAACAGGAAATGACAAAATAGATAAAGTCTTCAGAGTCTCATAATCATTAATTTGTGCAATATTTTTTTATTTTGTGCTACACTGAAAAATTAATCTTGGAAAGATGTATTGACTAAAAATAACATTATGCTTATTTTTTATGGTAAGATTATTTTGCTAGTTTAAATATGCTAATACTTCATAAACAGAGAAAACAAGTCTGAGTTTTTCAGCTTGTTTTAAGTATTATTTTTTTTATTTCCAGAAAATGTTTCTTGTTTAGGTAAAATAAGCTTTTGATGTTATGAAATGTTTAATAAATAAGTAAATAATACTTGAAATGTATGTTTTTAAACTAGAAACAAATCATTTTGGGCTAGTATTATTTTATTATTTTCAGAACTCAGAACTTTCTTGTTCTATTGGTAAATCATTTTAATATTTCACGCAGTTTTTCTTTTAAAGTATTTTTTGTGGTAAACAATCATTGGTTTTCTTGCTTATTCCAATCTACGTATGTAGTAAGTAATGTTTATTTCTATAGTGCCTTTTACAAACCAGAGTCAAAGCAGTTTACAATTGTGGGCATTAGTCTCTGACTCCACACAGAGATGGGAGGGGCCAGTACAGGAGGCACAGACCTATTTTACATGTATTTTAATGGTAGGGGAAACCGGAGCACCCGGAGGAAACCTACGCAGACACGGTGAGAACATGCAAACTCCACTCAGAAAGGCCCTGTTCCGACCTGGATACGAATCCAGGGCCTTCTTGCAGAGAATCCAGAGTACTATCCACTCAGCCACCGTGCCGCCCATATCTATCTATCTATCTATCTATCTATCTATCTATCTATCTCTCTATCTATCTATCTATCTCTCTATCTATCTATCTATCTATCTATCTATCTATCTATCTATCTATCTATCTATCTATCTATCTATCTATCTATCTATCTCTCTCTCTCTCTCTCTCTCTATCTCTCTATCTCTCTATCTCTCTATCTCTCTATCTATCTATCTCTCTATCTCTCTATCTATCTATCTATCTCTCTCTATCTCTCTATCTATCTATCTCTCTATCTCTCTATCTATCTATCTCTCTATCTTTCTCTCTCTATCTATCTATCTATCTATCTATCTATCTCTCTATCTCTCTATCTATCTATCTCTCTATCTATCTATCTATCTCTCTATCTCTCTATCTATCTATCTCTCTATCTCTCTATCTATCTATCTCTCTATCTTTCTCTCTATCTATCTATCTATCTATCTATCTATCTATCTATCTATCTCTCTATCTATCTATCTATCTCTCTATCTCTCTATCTATCTATCTCTCTATCTATCTCTCTATCTATCTATCTCTCTATCTATCTCTCTATCTATCTCTCTATCTCTCTCTGTCTCTCTCTATCTATCTATCTCTCTATCTATCTATCTATCTCTCTATCTATCTCTCTATCTCTCTATCTCTCTCTCTATCTATC